ACCTCCACGTGTGAAGGTTTCAGATAAATGTTTGGAGGATTTTTGAGTTTAAACACTAAAGCTGTCAAAGGGCAGCAGGTAGAAGATGGTGTGGATGTAGTGATGGAGAACAGAGGTAACAGGTGAGGGCGGAGCTGGTCAGAGCTGAATAAATAACTCCTCAGCTGAAGGTGACCTGAGAACACGATAAAGCGTATTTACACACGTCGTTAGTGAAATACTGCAGAGGGGGAAGCATAAAACACACGCGTGACAGATGGTTAACAAGGTGAAGCCACGCCCCCTACACAGACAAAGGCAGACAGGTGCTTTCATCCTGACACCTTCATGTGAACTGTGTCAAAGAGGAAGAAGGATCCACTGTTAGCGTGTTCACATCCAACCCTGCACTCGGTTCCTGTCCTCGTTATCTCAGGGCTCTTGTTTGCACACTTTGTGCTGTTTTCATGTTTCACAAAGAAGATAAACGAGCTGAAGTCAAGATAATAACACGACTTTAGCTCTGACTGCATCAGACTGAGCGGCGCCAGCTGCTGTTGTTCGTGGTGATGAAGTCAAACCATAAAAAGAACAAAGACTCTACCTGATGCATGTGGATGAGTCTGTGTGGTTGTGACAACATTAAGCTTGTAGTCAGAGCAGCCTGATCTCACAGAGCTGTGGGGGTTCACAGCAGGCTGCTGCTCTCTGATTTGCATAAAGTTTGCATAAACCAAATGTGTCCCGCCTGCTTTGGCTGAAAGGTTGAAGTCTGGTTACTGAACACAGCTGCTGCCCAGAGCTGAAACATGGAGCCAACAACAAGACCCAAAGACTGCATGCCATCTTTTATTTACAGTCTCAGTGTCACAGACAAAGGGCCAGACATTTGGAAGCTCATTGGACTGGAAGCTGTAGCTCCTCCTCTTTTACATGGAGATGGAAAAGCACCTGGAGAGGGCGTGGAACCATCTCAGGCCGCAAAGATCAAAACTCCCTGCCTGTGGGGGATGGGACTCACCTCTTTAGCAGGTGTGATTCATCCGGGATGAGTCTCCAGCATCGACCGCAGACACAGACACACCCACCCCCACATCACACCTCCTCCACACGCCCTGGTCACTGCTCCCCAACCACAGCATACAGTCGTCGGTGACCCAGTGTTTGGATTTTGCATCATTATTATTATTGATCTGATCTGTTTTGTGTTCTGGCTCTTCGGTTCTTCAGTCTGTGATTTTTAGCTCTGAGGTTTAGTTCTGTCTTCATGTTTATTTTCTTGTCCCCAGTCGGTCGTGTCTCATGTCGCAGTTTGTTACTCCCGTCTCTGTGTTCCCTTTGTTCAGTATCAATCGGTGCCTCTGTCGTGTGTTTCCTGTTTTACTTTGACAGTCTGTGTCCTGTGTGCGGTGCGGCTGGTTTTGCTTCCCCTTGTGTCGTTAGCTCTAATTACCACCTGTTCCCCATCCTCTCGTTATGCTGTCTGTGTATTTAAGTCCTGTGTTTCTCTCTGTCAGCGTTGTGCTGTCATCACTGCTGTGTTATGATCGTTTTCCAGTTCTCTGCTCATTGTTTAGCTTCCCCAGTCCAACTCCAGGCCTCGAGGGCCGGTGTCCTGCAGGTGTTAGATCTCACCCTGGGTCAGCACACCTGAATCACATGACTTCATTACCAGACCTCTGTAGAACTTCAAGACATGCTGAGGAGGTAATTTAGACATTTAAATCAGCTGTGTTGGATCAAGGACACATCTAAACCTGCAGGACACCGGCCCTCTGACCCTGCTCTATGAACTCACAGTGCGCCCCCTTGTGTTCAGTGAGAGAAGTCCAGCTGATGCAGAAAGTGTTCACAAACTTGGTCTTAATTTACTTTATTATTACATTTTTACTATTTAAAACTTATGATGCTCTTCCCGACTTAGCAGTTGTGTGATGACTCTGTGAGGTCTGTTTGGAGGTGATGTGAAGAAATGAGCAGGTGTGTCACAGCTGGATTAAATGTGGTCTGTAAGTGAAGCACAGGCCTGACTCACAGCCTCCAACAGACACATTTCAACACGTCTGGAAGCTGCAGAACATGATGAAGCTGGTTATGATTATGCAACCATGTCAGCAGCTGTGAAACGTGATCATTTACAGCAAACCTGCTTTCAACCATTTAACATTTCCTCAAACACATCATCGACTGAGGGTTTGACTGTTTCTTATGAATATTAAAGAGTTTATTAACGTTAAATGATGAGATTTATTTTAGTTTTTTCTATTTAGAGGTTTGTTCAGCATAATTAATCAAAGCATCAGAGTCTGTTGTTCCTGAGGCCTCACAGAGGAGCACAGAGGCAGCAAACTGCAGTCTTTCTGTGTTTCAGTGTAAAATCAAATGTTCATGTGCTAAAGATAAAAATAATAATAATTAAAAAGAACTTTTAGATGTGACAGGTCATTTTTCTCTGAGTGGAGGTCAGAGGTCACTAAAGGAGGACTGAACGTGTCATTTGAACCTCACTGAGGTCACAGTTTGGCTTCAGTTGTTGATTCTTAGCAAAGTGAAACTGAGTGTTGGAGCATCTATAACTTCATATATGAAACAGTTCTGTGGCTGCTGTGGTGAACTCGTGCTGTGCACATCAAACTGAACTGAGCTCAGTCTTCTTTTCCACAAAGTCACGATATTTATGGCTGAAACAGGCTGAAAGCTGCAGGCTGGGTCTGTACCAACGTCCCGAGTCAGAGTAATCAGAGTAAAGTATAATACTCAAGGAATAATTATATGGGCGTATAAAGTTTTCTTTATTTGAGTTCAGAAAGATGACACAGTCTCAGCTTTAGTTTAAAAATGCTGAAGAATTTAAAAGTGTTTAAATATTAATGTAATGATGAGTTTTTGTTGACGTCCTCTGCAGGACTTTGCAGTGAACACAGGGGGCGCCTGTGAGCCCAGTGATGAGCTCTCTGTGCTCAGGCTTCAGCTTCACATGTTTGAACTGTGGACAAAGGTGTGAAAACAAAGTGATGAAGTTTAAACCATGAGAATAAATCTCGGTGATGGTTTCACTGCGAGGGTCGTCCTGGCCTGCAGTCAGGACCTGAAATTAAACTCAAACGTTTGTTTTGCTGCTCTCCTGTCGTGTGACCTCGCAGGTCAAACCCAGAGTTAGTTTAACGAGTTCATAACCAGCTTCGTGTGAGCGTTTATCTCTGACGTGAATCCAGATAACGTGCTGAACTCAGAGCTAGCACAGCGCCACCTGCCCACTAACTCCGTCCCTCACAGAGTTCCTCGTATTTTTGTTCTTTACGGTTTGGTCCCGTTTCTGTTTGCACACTTACAGTTTTCCTCCTGCTCTCTGTCTGTTAGTGGAGCTGTGGGCTCATTCTTCAGGCCCTTGTGTGCTCGACACGAGTGTAAATATGATGCTAACAATGTTCTGTGAGCTGACACAGGAACAGGAGCTGAGCAGCATCTGCTGACAGTTCAGGTCTGCAGACATTTATATCACAAACACCTCCAAGTACAGCAGCTTTCATTCTGAAGGAGTTTGCAGTTATTCCTCCATGAATGTGTCTCTGAGTGCTGCCAGCATGTTACCCTGTTAGTGTGACAGTGATCAGTAAAAGTCTCAGGTGGTGTTCGAAGCCTCTCACAGCTCAGACACACAGAGCTGTGAGAGGCTTCTGTGGTCGTTTCTGTAGAGCTCACGACGTCTCTGCTGTCACATGTCAGACTGTGGTCGACCCCACTGACCTGAGACTGTGGACAGTGTGCAGCGTTCCTCTGAACCCCACTGTGGAGCTGTCACAGAACAGGAAGCACTCGTGGTTTCCTCAGCAGGAAACAGGTCATCATGCTGCAGCAGCAAGACGGACAATCTACTGTGCTTCAGTACATCACTATTTATTGCAGTGTTTACTGTGAATCAATTGCAGTAGTTATGGTAGTATTAATGCAGTATTCATTGCAGTATTCAATGCAGTATTCATTGCAGTATTCATTGCAGTATTCAATGCAGTATTCATTGCAGTATTCATGCAGTATTCATTGCAGTATTCATTGCAGTATTCATTGCAGTATCCACAGCAGTGCTGCATGTTTGTGGGAGAGAAATGTGATGATCTGTGACGGCAGCATCAGGACCGGACGAGTTCAACGTAACTGTGACTGCATCAGACTCTCCCTGCAGTACTTACATGTACTTGTACACGAGTAAAAATAGATGGTGTGGGAGGTTTTGCACTGTGCTTGTGTTGTTCGTAGCTGTGTTGTGGACAGAGACCTCCAACAGAAGCAGGCTCGGGGAGGGGCGGGGCCACCTGCTGACACCTGATGGGGGGAAGAGAAGGAGAGCAGAGACGAGGCAACGTTAATGACATGCAACACACGGGGAGTGAAAAGAAGGCAACATAACCAAAGGAAGGTCGAAGGTCACCTGGTCCAGCCCTAACTATATGCTTTAGCAAAAAGGAAAGTTTGAAGCCTAATCTTGAAAGTAGAGATAGTGTCTGTCTCCTGAATCCAAACTGGAAGCTGGTTCCACAGAAGAGGGGCCTGAAAACTGAAGGCTCTGCCTCCCATTCTACTTTTAAATACTCTAGGAACAACAAGTAGGCCTGCAGAGCGAGAGCGAAGTGCTCTAATAGGGTGATATGGTACTTTCCAATCCAAGCTGGCCCGCTCTCCTGAGAAGCAACAAGCAGAAGTCAGCCAGCAGTAACCACGGTCGTACAGCAGCCTCTGTGCAGTCTGTAGGCTAAAGACAAAACGTCCATTAGTCCTTGTTCCCCCTCTGACACAGGAAGATAAAGGTGACCAGACCAGACAAACTTCACCAGAAGCTGCTGCACCTCTTCCAGACGACCAGGTGGTGGCACTAAAACAGTAAGTGTGTGCATAAGGATGAGGCAGCTACATATCTACTATATCTAGATACCAACGAGACATCCGCTCTCTAAGCTGGCTGACAAACCCCTGCTCTTTCAGAGAATAACAACCGCTTAGAGAGATGCGACGTGTTAGAGATGTCTGTGAAGACTCCTGCAAGCTGCTCAGCACATGCTGGAGGCTCATGTCCAGGAATGCCGTCAGGGCCAGCAGCCTGGTGAGCGTTGATACTGCTCAGTGCGTTATGGACATCTATGGTGGTAAGAGAAGGTTATGGCAGTCATCAGAGGGCAGGGTTCTGGCAGACTTTTCCTTGTCGTCCTTGTCAAAATGAGCGTAGAAGCTCATTGAAGGAGGAAACATTCATGGTGTGAATGCCCAGCCACAGGCATCGTGGGTCCTAGTTGACAAAGTGTTCCTCCAGCTTGTAGCTGTGCTCGGCCTTCTTGGTGCCCCTCTTCAGGTCTGCCCTGGACGTACTGCAGGCCTGAGCGTCACCTGATCTGAAGGCATTGTTACGTGCCTTTAGTAGAAGCAGGATTTCCTTTGGCTGCACCTGAATGCTGTGTGTATGTACCAGGCTGTTTCCTTCCTGTGGGATAATCCTGGCTTTGTGTGACACACTGGTTTATAGTATTAATGAGATGGGGTGTTTCACCTCCAAGTAATCTTTTTTTTAAAAATCCCAGGAAGTTGATTCTGTTCATCTGGACAAAGACTTTTTTCGTCATTTGTTCAGCCTCGAGGCTTTTATTGCATTTAGCTGTGCAGCACTTTGGTTAATGTGTGCTGCTGTTAGATGTGCTTCGAACTAAACTGACTGTGGATGAAATTCAGAGCGCAGACTGAATCAGGCAGACGCACAGCGGTGTAAACTTAATAAACTTATTATTATTTTACATTTATTTAACAGTGAAACGAGGACGGAGATTTGAGAGAATTAAGTTCGTTTCTCTTTTATGTGCAGGTTGGATCTCTGTCAGGTTTCAGTTTGTGCTGAGTTAAGGCTCACCGGGCAGATGAAGGTCGTGCTCCCACACTCGTGTCTCCTCGGGATCTTGCACCATCAGCATCACTTCCTCTGCGTTCGTTGTCAGGATGATCTCAAAGGTCGGGTGGTAATTTGGTCCGTAATTTTCAAAAAACTCTGCACGCTGAAGCGAAATGGAAACAATTTAAAACAGCTTTGTGGACAAAGTGTCTGCTGACACTCAGCGACTGATACTCACTGCAGGCTGTATTTTAAAGTGGTGCGGGGCGCTGCTCAGACTGTACTTTTGACCTTTGTGGAAATAACAGAAGGACGGCGCTTCGATGTGCTCTGAAGCAGCGTGCTGCACTTTCACCTTCAGAGACATCACAACATTTTCTTAGTGCATGAATAGTTTCAGAGCTTCACAGCAAACAGATATAATCAGAGGATTTATTCATGCAGAAGCCATTTAATGATTTCATGATAAAGTCATACGTCGTGCAGAGGGACGTTTCCTGGGAGCAGCATCACACTGAGGATGGGGCGTGGCCTGTTTCTCAGGAAGAGCAGGACTTGGCCACGAACGGGTTTCGTCATGTAATTGAAAAACCGCTCAACGAGATCCCAGACGAGGCCGAAGGCGGAGAGGTGAGGGACGTCCACGACCACGTGAGTCTCAGTGATCTCCAGAGGCTGTATGATGCTCATGCCATCATCCGTGATGTGGACCACAGAGATGCTGTCAGAGACCAGTGCTGGGAAAACACACAGCTTCGTTCACTGCAACAGCCTCCAGAAACTTTCCATGGAAAGCAAATCAGAGCATTTTCTGCAGGTTTAATTCTCCTTCAGGTGTTTCAGTGGCGTCCTTACCCGGCTCAGGCTCACAGTGTGGGAGGTGCAGCTGACGTATAGAGTCCTGAAGACACTCGATGCCGAACAGCGGGCCTCCGGCCACTTTGTGCGCTGGTTGGAGGACCAGAGGATCCCAGATCAGAGTCTTGTAGGTGACCTCACTCTCACGAGTCACATCAAAGACCAGACCAGTCAAAGAACACTGGAACAACCCTGGACCGGGAAACAGGAACCTGAACGACACAGAACGGTTCAACATGGAGCTCAATGCTGTAGCTGTTAAATTCAGTCTAATTTAATTTATATGGTGCAAGACTGTCATCACAATAGAATTCATACTGCAAAGTAAAACCCAAGGCTTTATGTTATTATACTAGTGAGAGAATCCTAAAAGAGGAAGAAGCATCTATGGCAACATCCTTCATCAACGTTTCCATCAGATGACAGTTAGATGATCACGTCCGTCTCTTTTAATTAAAACTTTACTTACTCGTGTGTAGGAGTTGATGGTCAGCCACTGCCTCTATTGACCATGACTTTGGTATTTTAACCAGTTATGGTATAACTAACCAAGGCCATGTTAAAGTTAACAAATGTGTGTGTTGCGAAGTTGCAAAAATATAACACATAAAACAAAGACTCAAACTGACATTCAACCTTGTAAACAGCAGTATATTAATTGGCTCCCAATACTCCATCAATTGGTGACCCATCTACTGTCAGACACAATCTGACATTCAGACTCAACCAATCACACATTTGTTAAAAGCATTTTTAATTTTCCCCACATTCTTCTTTGCATATGTAAAGCACTCTGAGCACGTCTGTGTTTGCAGAGGACATAATCTCACAGTGGGCACATCGAGGCTTGCGTGTCGTACCTGTATGAAACGCCTGCTCTTTCTTTTCTCATCTCAGGTGTGAAGCTTGATCGAGCCTAAAAGTCCAGAGAGGGCAAATTAAATATTTTTTTTAGTCACACAAACTTGTGATGTTGGTGCTACCGAAGAACCAGAAATACTCACAGTTTCCATTTGCAGCTTCACAACCCTGCACAAGGTCAAAGTTCCACCATGAACACTGAATGCTGGGTAGAGAGGCTCGGTGAACGTGGTGTGGAAGGTATGAATGAGAGTTTTTTTGTCACCAGAAACTGAATAAAAGGACAGAGTGCCGGCTGGCCAGTCCAGAAACAGTCCCAGTCTCCTGCGTCTGGCCAGGAATGCTCGGACGTCGATGTGTGGGACCGGTATAAAAGTTTCCCTCAACCCGTGTCGGAAGGAGTAACCGTTTGAATTGGTGATGCTGAAACACCAGCTCTTGTCACTACGGTCAATTTCTGTGTCCCAGTGTCCCTTCCTCGGCAGGCTCTTATATGCAACACCAATATTCACAAACGCTTCCCAGTCCACCTCCCAGTAGCAGCGCCCAGTCAGAGCCTCTCGACACAGCACCTGACTTGGTCAAATCTCTCTGGATGATCAGGATACGACTGCTTTTCCTCAGTGCTGCTTACTTTCCTGTCACATTCAGACAGGACGAGGTTTTCATTCACAGTGTTGGGGTCGAATGTGAGATCACAGGCATCTGTGAAAGAGATGCAGTGAGTTAAGCTTCAGCTCAGTCGATGTTACAGAGAAACTCAGTGACACTTACACTTGTTCAGAAGCTGTGGGTCGACCCAGTGCTCTTCATCGTGGTCCACACTGAGGCAGAAGAGGTCAGACTGTTATTATTAGTAAATAAACATGAAATAATCTAATATGATAAACATGTTTTGTCAAGGCACCGTGACAGGAAATTATTGCCTTGAGTTGATAAAATTAGTTCACAGATGGAGAGAAAACAACCTTATCAGAGATACAAAACTCAATAAAAAAATGGTCAGAGGACAAGTAACGAGCACCTGATATGAAACAACAAAGGTGAAGCAGCACTCAGAGACATGCTCCACCCTGTGGCTTTGGTCTGGGTGGAGAAAGATTCGGTCTTCTTTCATCGAGCAGTGTTGTCAAACTTTACTCAAGATAAGCATTTATAGGAGCAGGTAAGCACTGATAAAGCCAAACATTTCTAACAGGAAAAGAAGTTTGTTTCTGTATTTCAGCTTTTAGCACTGCTGTGGGGTACATTTCTCAAATCTCACTTTGACCTGGTCATTGGGACAAAGAGATTACAATGTTCTCATAATGTTTGTTATCTACAGAACCCAGGGTTATTTAGTTTGACATCACAGTTTTAGAGCTGAGGAGCTGTTAGCCACTGGAGTCGGTAATGTTGCCTTCAGGTACAGGTATTAAAAAAACAACAGCCTAAGATTTTAAATCTTTCTATGTAAAATCCCATTAACCACTGTTATTTATAACACTTACTGACTGAACTGCAGTCAGCACTCTGTTGCTCATGTTTAACCGGGACCTGAAACACTACACGTATAAAGGCTCATTTACATCATGGAGCCCTGCTCTCAGATGTAACTCTATCTGTGAAGCTGGATTTAAGGAATAAATGATTAAAGTGAAAGTTTTAAAAACATGTTTAGCGCCAACTTCTGTCAGTACAAGCGTGATGTCATGTGGTTGGTTGGCACTTACATTAGTTTATGTTAGCCAACTAGTGACAAGATCGATACCTCGGAGGAAAATAAGGACACTGAAACTAAACATCAGTGTAAGAGGATCACTTCAGTGCTGCAACAATGAGTTTATATTAAACTCAGGATGTACTGTCCACTTTACTGTCTGTCTTTAGCAGGAAGTGACGGTTCGGTAATTGGCTAGCTGCACTCAAACGGGCAAATCCAGCTGTTAGCCGTGATGGTGGGGTTTGTAAAGCACTTTATAAATGAGGACTGTGTGGAGGAGAGTCTGTTTGAGTCACCAGACCAACAAACTGGAGTCCGACACCCCAGCTTTTCCTCATCAGGCCAAATCGTGTAATCAGCTGGCAAAAAATCAGAATCAGCATACTTTATTAATCCCTAGGGAAATTATGTGGGTTACAGTTGCTCCAGCACAGTAACATTAACAAAAACAGACTAGACTATTTGACAGTACTATATGTTAAAACATATACAAATCATCAAATAATAAATATCCAGGGTTGACAGATGTGATTATAAATAATCATCAAGAATAATGACAGCAACATTATCGAGTAAGAAAAGAGTGTGTGTAAAAAGGATGTAACTATTGCAGTGATTACAGAGGGTTAGATGGAGGAGTTGTACAGGGAGATGGCCACAGGCAGGAATGTTTTCCTGTGTTGGACAGTGGTGCTTTTTGGTAATCTCAGTCTCTCACTGAGCGTGAAGGCATGCCGGCTCGGACGTCGCCCGGATCAACAAGGTCCGCGTCAGGTGTTGAGGAACCAGGGCACCCTGACGAAAAGTGGGCTACTGGAACAAGAAGGCATCGGTGGGCAAGAGACGAAAACAGGGCGTTGTTGGAATGCTACTACGCAAGTAACCCTGGCGGAAGGGGCTACATGAATAGGATGAGGGACCTATGGATTCTTCGATACCCAACATCCACAATGACGGCGAAACAACTAGTAGCTCAGTGTTCCAACATTTGAAAGAAGGGACTGCTCTCACAGCTAGAGATTGACGAGGTACAACACAAATGCTACGAAAGGAGCGGAGCAGACGCAGGAGGGGAGATATCCACCCACCCGAGATTGGGTACATAGCCCCAAGTGCGATAGGAGAAGGACTGTTGAGTGCGAGAGGAGCTGACCTGAAAATAGGATCATGGCCAAGCTTGAAACCTGGATCCCTCGTAGCCGGTTACCAAGATTACGTGAAGTACCCTCAGAAGGTCTGCTAGATGATGTTAATGCAGCACTACGGACAATACCTACAACCACGATTACCGACACTAACAAGCTGATCTACAATACGGCAGCAGTGATCAGTGAGATGCTTGGCTACAAGTTGAACAGCCACAAGGGGCAGTACCCTCCATGGAGAAGGAGGCTAGAGGGCAAGATCAAAGTAGCACGGAGGGAGGTTAGCCAACTAACGGAGTTGCAGAAAGGTGCGACAAAGAAGGTGCATAAGAAATACAGCAAGCTGTCCATACCTGAGGCCTTGGAAACTGCCAAGCAAAGACTCACAGCCTTGGCCAGCCGCTTGAGGAGGTACACCAGAGAGATAGAAGGCAGGAGAATAAACCAGCTGTTCTCCACAGAACCAGCAAAGGTGTACTCTCAGTGGCAAGGGAACAATAAGAGAACAGCACCACCAAGGCTGGAGACGGAGCAATACTGGAAGAGCATATGGGAGAAGGACGCAACCCATAACGGCAATGCTCAGTGGCTAGTGGATCTGAGGGCAGACCACAGCGACCTCCCTGAACAGGGTCCAGTAACCATCACAGTGGCAGATATCCAAGAAAGGGTCTCCAGTATGAAGAGTTGGACAGCACCAGGGCCCGACATGGTTCACGCCTACTGGCTAAAGAAGCTGACTGCACTCCACGAGCGTCTGGCAGCACAAATGAACCAGCTGCTAGTTAACGAGAGACACCCGGAATGGCTAACCGAAGGTCGGACGGTCCTGATCCCCAAGGACCCCAAGAAGGGACCGGTCCCCTCCAACTACCGACCAATAACCTGCCTCAGTACTACATGGAAGCTCCTGTCAGGCATCATATCGGCTAAGATGAACAGGCACATGGGTCAATACATGAGCGGGACACAGAAAGGAATTGGCAAGAATACCAGAGGCGCAAAACACCAGCTACTGGTAGACAGAACAGTCAGCCGAGACTGCAAGACCAGACTGACCAACCTGTGCACTGCCTGGATTGATTACAAGAAGGCCTAATGGATAGTGGTGGTAGACAAACAGAAGAAGACGGCCGTAGTGATCGATGTAGCGGTTCCGAATGACAGCAATATCAGGAAGAAGGAACACGAGAAGCTGGAGAAATACCAAGGGCTCAGAGAAGAGCTCGAGAGGATGTGGAGGGTGAAGGTAACGGTGGTCCCCGTGGTAATCGGAGCACTAGGTGCGGTGACTCCCAAGCTAGGCGAGTGGCTCCAGCAGATCCCGGGAATAACATCGGAGATCTCTGTCCAGAAGAGCGCAGTCCTGGGAACAGCTAAGATACTGCGCAGGACCCTCAAGCTCCCAGGCCTCTGGTAGAGGACCCGAGCTTGAAGGATAAACCGCCCGCAGGGGCGTGCTGGGTGTTTATATATTATTAATATATTAAGAATATAATATAATGGCTCTACCGAGCGTCCCGTTATTTCTAAAACTCTGATTTTTCTCTGATAGAGTGATTGGAACAGATACTTCTTTGTCACAAAAAACATTCATGAAGTTTGGTTCTTTAATGACTTTATTATGGGTTAACAGAAAAAAGTGATCACATCTGCTGGGTCAGAAATATACATACAGCAGTGCTAATATTTGGTTACATGTCCCTTAGCCATTTTCACTTCAATTAGGCGCTTTTGGTAGCCATCCACAAGCTTCTGGTTGAATCTTTGACCACTCCTCTTGACAGAATTGGTGCAGTTCAGTTAAATTTGATGGCTTTCTGACATGGACTTGTTTCTTCAGCATTGTCCACATTTTCAATGGGGTTTAAGTCAGGACTTTGAGAAGGCCATTCTAAAACCCTTATTCTAGCCTGATTTAGCCATTCCTTTACCACTTTTGATGTGTGTTTGGGGTCATTGTCCTGTTGGAACACCCAACTGCGCCCAAGACCCAACCTTCATGCTGATGATTTTAGGTTATGTTGAAGAATGTGAAGGTAATCCTCCTTCTTCATTGTCCCATTTACTCTCTGTAAAGCACCAGTTCCATTGGCAGCAAAACAGCCCCACAGCATAATACTCCCACCACCATGCTTGATTGTAGGCATGGTGTTCTTGGGGTCAAAGGCCTCACCTTTTCTCCTCCAAACATATCGCTGGGCATTGTGGCCAAAAAGCTCGATTTTTGTTTAGTCTGACCACAGAACTTTCCTCCAGAAGGTCTTATCTTTGTCCATGTGATCAGCAGCAAACTTCAGTCGAGCCTTAAGGTGCCGCTTTTGGAGCAGGGGCTTCCTTCTTGCACGGCAGCCTCTCAGTCCATGGAGATGCAAAACACGTTTAACTGTGGACAATGACACCTGTGTTCCAGCAGCTTCTAATTCTTGGCAGATCTGCTTTTTGGTGATTCTTGGTTGACTCTTCACCCTCCTGACCAATTTTCTCTCAGCAGCAGGTGATAGCTTGCGTTTTCTTCCTGATCTTGGCAGTGATGAAACAGTGCCATGCACTTTATACTTACAAACAATTGTTTGCACTGTTGCTCTTGGGACATGCAGCTGCTTTGAAATGGCCCCAAGTGACTTTCCTGACTTGTTCAAGTCAATAATTCGCTTTTTCAGATCCATGCTGAGCTCCTTTGACTTTCCCATTGTAGCATTTGTGGGCGTTTGTATCCAATGAGCCCTATTTAACCTGTCTAAGAGAAGTCACCAGCTGTAGTCACTCATAATCACTCACAAGAAGTTAAGAGGCCATGCTATGAAGCTCAGTTCACTGACAACTTTCTAAGTCACCAAAATTGCTAATTCATGTTGCTGTATGTATATTTTTGACCCAGCAGATGTGATCACTTTTTTCTGTTAACCCATAATAAAGTCATTAAAGAACCAAACTTCATGAATGTTTTTTGTGACAAAGAAGTATCTGTTCCAAT